TCCTTTCGCCCTTCCCTTGCCTCCTTCCTCCTCTCCCGCTCATTTCTTGCTGCGGCTGCTTTCACCCCCCCCGGCCCCGCGCACGCAGCCCTGCTCCTGCCCCCCCCCCCCCCTTCCCCCCCCTCCCTCCCTCGCACCCCCCCCCCTCCGGCGCCGTTCCCGCCCTTCCCACCGCCCCTCCCCCCCCCACCCCCCTCCCCCTCCGCGAGTCCCCCGCCGCCTGCCCCCCCGCCGGCCCGCCCCTCGCCTCCCACCCCCCCCGCCCTGGCTAGGTACGCCCTCCTTCATGCCCAGAGTGGTCCCTCAGCAGTAGTAGGATTTCCGGCACAGTCTCCGTCAAAGCCTCGCTCCATTGACACAAGACCGGGCCCGTGAGAACCCTGCTACACGATGTCGTTGGTCCCGTGTTCCCTTGTTCGCTCTTGGTGAGACTCATATGAACGGCCCGGACGGCTCTCGGAGGCCTCGCTGGGTGGGCGAGCGTATGCGTGTCGTGCCGAAGCCGGAGGCGCAGGAGCCCATCGCTTTTTTTTCCCGATCCATTTCCATTCCCAGTCGAGCGCAGAAGTTGGTGCGTGGCCTGCGCGAGCGAATTGCAAGCACATCTGAGCGCAAGTGCGTCCATCGGGTAGGCGCGGAAGGAGCGAGCACGCCATGGCCCGCTCCCGCGCCCCAAGCGCCTCCCGGCCGGAGCCGGCGCCCAGAGGCCTTGTGCTCCGAGGCTCAGCCCGAGGCGAGAGGGGGACATTGGCGGCCAGCGGCCTCCCGGCGTGTTGTACATCCCGAGCGAAAAAGAGTAAGACAGAGAGGCCTCGCCCTCGCCGGCCTGGAGGAACACACGCTGGGCCGGCCCGTACAGCGGGGTCCCAGGATGACACCCGGCTTGGGGAGGAAGGCGTGGCGTGTGGACACCCCCAAGGCCTTACAACCGAGTCGGGGCGCTGACCGGGGGGGGGGGGGGCCGGGCGGCCGGGCGAGCAGGCCCACACCGAAGCAGCCCGAAATGGTATCCCTTTCACCTCGGGCGAGGGTCGGGCGGTGTTTTTCCCGGAAAGGGGGCTCGCCGGCTGCGCGCGGGCCTGGACCAAGTATTTGCTTTTCCGCTCACGAAGGGCATGCTGCCTCGCCGTTGGGGACTACGGGGGAGGACATGCCCGACGGGGGGGGGGGGGGGGGGGGGTCGCCGAAGGGAGGGCCCCCCACCCAGGGCGCCAGGCGGCCCCCGCATGGGACGGCCCCCACCATTATCCCCTACCAAGAAAACGCAGACCGGAGCGTCTGCCCCAGCATGCGGGACCGGAATTCCACCGGGGCGTTCGCTCCTCCCTGCACCGTCGCTGGGGAAAGAAATCAGACGCCTCCAGCGCTGGGAGGGGGGGGGAGAGGTTGCGTGTCGGTCTCAGCGAATGGGCCAGTCGCCGGAATGCCCGCAGAGGAGAAGGTCCGCCCGAATGTGTGTGTGTAAATGTGTGTGTGTGTGTGTGTGTCGACCCAATCGCGCAACCGGGAGGGGGGGGGCATCTCGCTGGTCCGTCGTCCGTTCCGGGGATCCCTCGGGCCCGCCGGCTCCTTCCAACAGGCGGGGTCTGGTTTCACATTGCCTCGGGGGACAGGTAGGCGCACGCATTTTCGCGTGCACAGACACGAACGCCCGCATTGTGATGTGCCTCAGGACATGTTGGACCGTCGCGACCCATGGTGGCGCTGCCTTGCCCCCTCCCTCGGCCGCCTGGCCATTCTCTGGCACCGGCCCGCCAACCCCCTTTTCGGGGGGGCGGAGGGGTGGAGGACGCGCGGGGAGCAACAGACCGGAACGATGGCGCATGTGCATGCTTGCGAGCTCTGGCACTCGGTGGGCGAGGGACGATGGCCACGCGTCCCCCCCCCCCTCCGCCCCGGACGGGGGCGGGGCCCACCCCTGGCCGACCTCCAGCTTTGATTGGCCCCAGAAGGGGGTACTTGGGGGCGAGGGACAAGCGGCCCGGCGAGCCAGCGCCTGGGGCCCGGTGTCGGGTATGCGGTCGACCCCCCCCCCCCCCGCTCCCCCTCGGCCCCTGCACTTACGGGAGATCGAACGAGGGAAAAAAACACTGGGCACCATGAGTCCAGCGATAGAAATTGCTCACACTGGCTATCCGAGGGGGCAGGTCGCGGCGAGGGGCGGGCCCGGGGGAGCCGTGTGCAAGGGGGAACGCGCTTGGCCCCTTTTCGCCCACCGGCCGAGACGGGCGCCAGGGGATCACATTGCCGCGCCGCGACGGACAATGCCCGCGCCCCCGGCTCGGCGGAGGTGGCGGGGCCCCAGACCCGGGGGTGGCAAATATTCAACCTTTATTATCACCGGCATTCATATCACCAGACCATGCCAAAGCCCGGCGGTGGCCACGCACACATACGCACGTACGCACGAATGCGCACGTACACACATGGACACACCTACACCCACAAGCCGGCCCTCAGTTCCATCTTTCTCGCGTGCGGTCCGACCCGAGTGCACATCAGCATCTGGGCGTGTGTTTGCCGCGTGACGGCACACTCTCCCACGTTGCCATCCTCAGTCTGCCGAAAAAGGGCAGCGAAAGCATTCACCTCCGCCCGAACGATCTGATGGAAGGGGACAGCCGGCGGCGGGAGGGACAGCCGTTTGCCTGTCGGGAGCTCGCATCCGAATGTGCGCCGAGTCCATGCGTTCGCCCGCCCGCCCCCTGTGTGTGTGTATGTGTGTGTGTATGTGTTTGTGTGGCAGGACAGGCAAGTGTCGATTCCTGGTCGATATCTCTCTCCCATCTCCCCTTGTTGGATCTTTTCGTCTGTCTCTCTGTCTCTCTGTCTCTCTGTCTCCCTCTCTCTCTCTCTCTGTCTCTCTCTCTCTCTCTCTCTCTCTCTCTCTGTCTCCAGCTGCCCTCCCCCTCAATGACTCTCGCGCACGCCCTCTCCCGGCCCGGAGCCACGCCCAATCCGACCGGAACGGGTTGGTCGCGCGTGCCACGGCCAAGCCGCGAGGCTGGTCCATTGTCAGTCAGACTCCCCGGGCTGGGGGCTCATCCCCGACCCCGCGCGTCGGCACGCAAGACGGCCTCCAGATCGCGCCTGGCCCCTGTGAGCTCGGCCGGGCCGGGGGCCGGCCAGCCCGCCTTCGGGCTCGCTTCCACGCCAACACCGGAGCCCGCACATCCCCAAACGGTGGCCCCTACAAAGGATCTCCCCCCTCCCGTTCCCTGGCCTCCCTGCGCCCGTCCCGTCCCCCCGGCCTTCCTCCTGGCGGCCCGAGAGCCCATCGGCACCTGGTGATTGTGGCCAATTAAGCGCCCCTGTGATGCCAGGACCGGCAGACCGGCAGATTCAGATCTCCTCTTCCATTTGGCTCTGCTCGCCTCCGCCCTCACGCCAGGCATCCTGCCTTTGTCCTTTCGCCCTTCCCTTGCCTCCTTCCTCCTCTCCCGCTCATTTCTTGCTGCGGCTGCTTTCACCCCCCCCGGCCCCGCGCACGCAGCCCTGCTCCTGCCCCCCCCCCCCCTCGGCCCTGTTCTCCGTTTGGGTCTCCGTGCGCGTGTGCGATCCAAGGGCACTACCCCGGCCCGGTCTCCCCCCATCATGCTGGCCACCGGGCCCCGGCTGGTGTTCCTCCTCCTCACTGGACTCCTGCTCTCCTCCCTCGGCCATGCGGCTGGGACTTCCCCCGACAGCAGCAACGATCTGCCGCACCTGGAGGCCGCGCGGCAGGTCGACGTGAATTTTGCCCCCGGGGAGGTCTCACTGGCCGATGTCTCCACCGCCGGCCTGGTCGATGTCACCTCGGCGGTTCCCTTCATCGCCGGCTCCGGCGGCTCGACTCGCTGGCGCGCTCGGTCCCCCGGTGACGGTCTGCCGGACATCCTGCTGACCGGCCGCCTGGCCACCGGCAACCCCGGCGTCTGGGCCGCACCCAATACATACTTCGCCTCCCTGCCCAGCCCGGCCAACTTGGCGGCCGATCCCTTCGGGCCGCGTGTCGGCTTCGCCGGCCAGACAGCGCCCGTCCCCGCGTGGGATGACTCCACCCCCGGGGTGGGGCTACCCCTCCACCAATCGGCCCTCGGGTGGGACTCCCTGTCCCAGCCATCGGTGGGCATCCTTCTCGGTACGTCAGTCGACTTGGGCACCTTCTGGCAGGCCCAGATCGTGCAGGATGCCGTGCCGATCCCGGCGCACTGGCTCCCCAAGGTGACCTTCCTGGATGCCGGACGCCAGTCGGCCGATCGGGCCGTCATCGGCGCCAAGCTACTGACGATGGCCGCCGCCACCGCGGCCGCCGGCGCCCCGACCGGCAGTGACTCGACCTCCGGATCGGCGTCTGCCTCGGGCTCCGGCCCGGGCCTACCGGCCGCCGACCATTCCACCGGCGTCACCATCTGTTTGGCGATCAGTCACACGGCCTCCCGCACGGGGGCTGCCCAGTGCGCGGCGTCCGGGCACACGCGCCTCCCGTCGGCCGAGTTGGGCCCGATCACCGCCGAACATGCCGGCGCTGGGGATGGGTCCGCCCCTGGGGATCTGGCCCCCTGCGGGGTGGTCCATTCGCTGGTCCCGCTGGTGCATCTTGCGGGGCTTCTGCCCGCCGGACTGGTGGCCCTGCAGCCGGCCCTGGCAGCTGCCCCCGGTGGCGCCGGCACATCGACCCCCCCGCGCGCCCTCGCCTTCGCCATCGGGCTCAATGGGCAAACCACCTCCACCATGCACATGTACTCCGTGTCCCAGGTCGAGGTGTCGCTGGCCACCTCCCCCCCGGTATCGGGGCACTTTCACCAGGCCACCACCCTGCGCGCGGATGGGGCCACCCTGCCGGATGACGCGCAGCGCATTGCCCATGCTCGGGTGCCGACCGGCTGGCCCGGGCCGGGTGCTCCACTGGCCGGGCACTCCGGCCTCCAGACCATGGCCATTCTCCCGGACCTGGCACACGGCCTGAATGCCGCCACCACCACCGTGGCCTATCTGTATCACCAGGTGTCGCAGGCGACCGGGCAAACGCGCGGCGGCCCGCACCTGGCCCTCTACCATACCGGCCTCGACACGACGGTGCGCGTGTCCCTGGTGCCCGAAGGCCTGCGGCACCCGCTGACCCAGGGGCCCTTGAACCCGGCCTGCTGCTCGGCCCTCGGCTTTGCCCCGACTTCGATCGACTCGCAAGGCCGCGTGCGCACCATCACCGTGGCTCTGGCTCTGGGGCACGAATGCACCGGCAGCTTGGACGCCGTCCCGCCGGACACCACGCCCCAGCATGTGCACTTGTCGCGCGTGCTGCTTACCCCGGACGGTGCGGCGGTCCTGATGGGCCTGGAAACCCTGCCACTCGGGAGCACCGTATTTGCGTCGCTGCCAGTGGCCCCGGCCGCGGGCACTCCCCCGCCGGCCGGCCTGCAGCGCTTGCGTGTGCACATGGCCGGCATCGATCTGAATGCCGATGGTGAGCGCGATCTGGCCATCCTCCTGAGCCTGGAGGACACCCGCCAGGCGGCGCTCTTCCGTGTGCTTCACCATCGGGGCGAGGCCACTGCGGGCACCGGCCCTGGCACCGGCGCTGACGACGCCCAACAGTGGGTCCCCCTTGCGCCGAAGCGTCTTCCCCTGCACGCGGAGGCGGCCCAGCCGGTTCCCATCCCTCTCGACGGTGCCTGGCCCGTGCTCTCCGGCACGCCGCGTGCCTTGCTCGATGTGGATCTCGAGAATGACGGCTGGCCGGAGCTTTGTCTGTTGAGCCTGCGTGAGGGGTCGGCTGGCTCGCTGGCCGGCGTGACCCTCGAGCACTGGTCCGACATGCGCGCGCGCAATCCCGGTATGTCTTGCCGTCTGTGCTCGGTGGCTTTGGACCTCTTCGCCCGCACCATGTTCTGCACTCCTTTCCCCCATGTCGTCGGCCGACAGCTGCCCTTCCACACCCGCCATCCACAGGGACCCAGTTGCTGACCCGTTCCCTTGGATTTGCACAGAATTCACCTGCCCGGCCGACGCCTTCCAGGCGGCGGTCTGGCCACCGGTCCGGCGAGTGCTCTTCTCGACGGCCCAGACATCGCCGGTCAATGTGCCAGGACATCCTGCCCGCTTGCTGGGGCTTGATTCTTACAACCGCGGTCTGGCCCAGCATCTGGGCTTCCGGGCGGGTATTTGCGCCCCAGGGCACCAGGTGGCCGGGACCCCCGGCACTGGGGCCTCTTTCGCCCAGGACTGGGGGGTCTATCGGCGATGCACGCACGAGGGCTGGAGCGTGCATCTCGGTCCTCAGGAGCAGGCGCAATTTCCATTCCCGCGTGGCGTCTGCCAGCGTACGTTGCTCCTCTGGCCCCTGCTCCTCGCCTCTTCCCTTGCCCGACACTTGCAGCCGCATGTGGCCATGTGCCGGGCCTGTGCTGATCATGGTCACCGGCATGCCTTTCTCTCTCTCTCTCCCCCCCCCCTGGCGGTTGCCCCCTTCGCCCAATCGCAGGTTCCACTTGCCCGGCCTTCACCGATGAGTTTGGCACGCAGTTCCCGGCATCGCCAGCCTCCCTGACGGTCCGCCTGTTGACCCGGTCGTCGCAGATGGGCACACTCTCGCCAGCCGGGGCTCTGGTCATCCCTGATGACGAAGGGGTCGCCGAGGGAGCTTGCAGCTTGACCCCCTCGTCGCAATCCTCCCGGCACCGGCTCTGCCACACAAGCGGCCTTTGGAGTGTGGGCACGAAGATCACCTGTCAGACGGGTGCGTCGCGGGCTCCGATAGGAATCACGGCCCTTTCGCCCCTGCCACCCATCCCCCCCCCCCCCCCCGGCTCCTCTAACCCCCGGAGCGTGGACTTCAGGCGCCACTTGCTCGGCGAGCGTGGCCTTCCCTGGTGCGACATCCACTCCCTGGCCGGTGGGCTGGGGGATGTCCCTGTGGGACTCGACGCGGATTAAGGGTACATTCCCGGCTCCTCGGCCGGGCCTTACCGAGACCTCGGCCGATGGGAGCCCCGTCAGCGAGGTGACCTGCCCGGTTGGCTTTGCCCCGACCGGCCAGCAGCCCACGTGCGAGACCTCCGGCTGGAGGCTCGCTGCCGGCGGGCCGACCTGTTCGCGTGCGTCCGGTGTCCTTCCCTCGGTGTGAACCACACAGCCCCCCGGATGCGATTCTTATCCATGTATCATGCCCCCCC